CCACATTTGCTTATGCACCCATTTGTCTTCAGCGATCGTATCATGGGAGCACACAACAATATGATTTTTTTGTTCTTTGATGCCTGATAACTGATCCCTTCGGCACCTCGTGATCACACGGTCTGGTGTGCTTCTTCCATGTGGGCTTACTTTTTATTTTTGTTTTCTCCTCTTTGTCTCTTTCCTGTTCTCTCACACACCACTGCTACACAGACTACTCCTCTTAGCCTAGGGCATTTACGCCTGGGCCACACCCAGTTAGGTGAGCTCCAACCTGTGCAGCTAGCCCGAGGATGGGGAAAGCCCTGCCGACCTCCCCCAGGGGATACTCCATCCAACTTCTTACCAGGAAATTCCTGCCTGTGTGGCTGGGGGAGCTCCTATCTTTCCCCTGTTTTCCCACATGACAGGGGGAACTTCCTCCAGCCTACCTTAGTGCCTCACATGGCCTAAGGCAGCTCAGCCAACACTCGTCAACGTTCCAAGCTGCTGCAAAAACCTCTGCCAACCTCCGCAACACCAAAGCAGGCAACCCAGCAGCCTTCAGGGGCACTCCGATAGAGAAGCCACAGGAGGATAAAGGGGTAGGTTAGTTCCATAGTGAAATTAGCTGTAGGCCGTTCGAAGAAGCATTCCTACAAGTCTCCCAGAGAGAACCAGGGTTCATGAGGGAGAGGGGAGCGGAGAAGGAGGGACAAAAATGAGGAGCTGATGCCAGGGGCTTAAGTGGAGAGCAAATGTTTTGAGAATGATGAGGGCAACGAATGTACCAATGTGCTTTACACAACTGATGTATGCATGGATTGTGATAAGAGTTGTATGAGCCCTAATAAAATGTTTTTTAAAAAAAGTTTATTCAGAAGCTACAAAGCTATTCTTACTAGTAAAAGGTATAGCAATAAACGCCCTGCCAAGGAGTGGATTCAATCACAGCAATCCCACAGACAAAACAGAACGTCCCTCTGGGGTTTCCAGGGCTGAAATCTTTACAGAAGCAGGGGCCACATCCGCCTTCCTCCCATGGGGCAGCTGGTCGGGTTGAACCGCCAACATCGCTGTTAGCAGCTGAGCAGAGTATTCGTACCATGAACAACTGTACCGCCTCAGGTAAGGCATCGCTTTACATGTTAAAGTTATGACACCTTCGCCATATGGCTAAAGGAATCGCAAGTGTCATTCTGGTTCCAGATGTTGAAACATCGGCTAAGAGCACATAAGGCTCTCCCACATACGGGTTAGCATTACAATCAAACGGAAACAGATCCCCTGGCTCACATGCCCCTTCTCGGATATAAGCTAACACATGGCAGGGGCACAAACGCCAGAGATGGGCAACACCGCTTACCTGAGACTCATGTGCAGTGCTAGGTCCTGAACCACACGATCGTGGCGGGCTGTCGACGAGTTCTTCCCCAGCCAGCTTGGAAAGGTGGGAAACTGAGTCATGTACCCCCTCATGAGCTCTCCAGGAAGAACGCTGGCATAAATGGCCTGGGGGCAAAGCAGGCGTCGCACAGCACTTAGAAGTCAGTACAAAGTTGCTTCCCAGGCGCTTATACAAAACCAAACGGCACTGTACCAGGTGCCCACACAGCTCCCAGAAGTCTGCAGGAAACGCCTCCCCAACCCATCAGTGATGTCCCAGGAGAGAATTAAGAGTAACGGGAAGACCACTGTCTTTAAACACGGCTCTGGCTATCGCAGGTGGATCCAAGCATGGAACATCTAATAATCAGGAGATCAACTAAAGTGGCCGCCGAGAAAAGGAAAGGAAGGCATCCTTGGATCTCTGCGTGCGGAGTTTTCGCTCTCATTAAAGGCGGAATGACTCAGCGCACCCGGGGCGGGACCACCTCGGCTCTGCAGGTCTCGGAGCTTCCCGCTTAGACCGGTGCAGCCTCCCTGCTTTTGTACGCTTGTTACTGCAACCAATGGCGTCTCCCTTCTCCAACGGGTTTTGCCCTTCCACCGCTTCCCGTTCCTACGGGCTTCATTCCTCTACCCGTATCATTTTGCTTTACGAAATATTTTGAATCATGGTTTTTATATGCTTTAAATTACTTCTTTAGGATAAACTCTCAAAGGCATCATTATTAGGTGCATTGAACATAAACACTTTTAAAACAAAAGTTACACCCAGAATGCCTTTGCTTCTGTGGTGGGGTCCCCCACACCGCATGTGGGCGGAGTGGGGAGAAGGGCGGGCCTTCCGGGAGCCGCACGCTCATTTCTGAGGCCCACGATTCTGTGACTAGGACCAAAGCTCAGCTAAGAACATTCTTCACTATAAACGGCTGCCAAACTCGGTTTCGGCTAAAAGGGTAGCAACCTAATGATCACAGTCCCTGACCTAAGAAGCTACCTCGTAAGCAAAGAAGCAGAGGTGCAGCTCACGCATCGCAGGCCCCGCCTGGGTGCCTTCTTCACAGGGAAGCCCCGTCGTCCAACTGGCTGAGAGAGCCAACACCTACACGCGGGGAAAACCCACGAAGGGTTCCTCGGGCAGAGCAGCAAATGAAACTTCTGACGGACATCCTACTGCCCCCCAGTCATTCCCACACAAGTACTTTTCCAACTCGGAGAAGTACGTTTGCGCTCAGAAAGAGCCAACAGTGACCGTACTGCTCGAGTCCCCAACCAACCGCCTCAGTGCCACAGGAGGCGGACCTCTAGCTGAGATCTGAAAGCGAACTCAGCGCAGCTTTCGATGTGGAACGGCTTCTGGTTTGGGTCCCCTGCAACCAAAGCACAGAGTCTGCGCTACAAGGGGGGCCCCCGTGCGAACCTGTGTGGGAAGAAGGCTCCAGTTTTGTTTACTTCGGATCTGGCTGTCCACTAGGTCGCCGTCGCATATGCTGTCTGCCGCTCTGCTCAACAGCATCAAGTGCTTCTTCATGTCGCCCCTTCAAGATAGGACCCATGTGGATTCCATTGCTCTCCACCCCCACCGACCCGGGGCGCTGGGGCAAGCACGCGTCCTGCCCCCCCCCCCCCCCCCCCCCCCCCCCGCTTTGGGCTTCACGTGTACATAGTTCTCCTGGACAAAGAGCGGCGCTATGGAGTAATCATGAAAGAAGAGATCCGATTTGTCCACAAGTGACAGATGAGCCGTCTCCTCTCCAGCTGCAAATACTTTCCGGGCGACATCAAATGGGCCCTAAAAACAGGTCACCAAAAAATAAAACAAATGAACAAAAATACCCACTTCTTCATCATTATTCTAGCTGTAATCGATTCTGACAAATGACTAGGGAAACGGAACATCAAACAAACGAAAACTAAACCCACTGCCACTGAGCTAGCTTCGATTCAGAGTGACCCCATACAGATCTTCGTTAAGAGTGAATCTCATTGATTCTTCGGAGCAGCAGCTGGTGGGTTTGAACTGCAGACTTTGAGGTTAACAGCTTAATTCCTAGTCCATGGTGCCACCAGGACTCCCACCCCACCCCACCCCGCCCTGCAAATGTAACACAGAAATCATTAAAATAGACTGCTAGTTTCAGAGAGGTTATTATTACTTAAACAATTCCAAAATACTCAATAATCTACAGTACTCAGTAGATGAAACCTACACCTAAGAGACCCTGGAAAAGTCCTTTCACAACAAATGAAGCACGGATACAATTAAAACTTAACCCTTTTCTAATGATTTACAGTACACACTGACAGTCCTGGCAGAAAAGCTCATTTGAATTGGAAACTGAGCAGATGGTCAAGCGATCCCGGGGTTCTTTGGGAGGGGTTGAGGCAATATAAAGACTACTTCCACTACGTTATGACGTAGGAGCACTCTGGGGCAGTACGTAACCGAGACATGGGTGTTTCTCTTACCAGCTTAATGTCCTTTCTGGCTCTACTAGCATCGGCCTTGGCCTGGTCATAGGACAGTGCCTTACTCTGTGCACACCACATGCTCAGATTGTGTAAAACCTACAAGAAGCACAAATAAGTTACGACAATGTCAACATGGAAAACACTCCCTTCCACAGCCATCACTCCCAAAGATGTCACATATATTTAATGTACCTGTCTGATATCCTGATTGGCTCCCAAGATTATTTCATTCATAGCTGGAGGGGGAATTTTTAAACCTTCTTTAAATGCAATAGACATCATAGCACCCTGAAAATGACAAAGGAGGGTGTCTTTAATAGATTTTTTAAACCCACATCCCAGGGACTGTAAAGAGCGGACCCTTGTATACACAGGATAATTTGATGAAGAGGGAGGAAAAATGTGCAATCATCATACCTTGATTTGCTCGAGCCGAGGTCTTTGGAAACGAAGATCAAAACAATAATGAACCAAAGAGCGAATCTTAGGGTGATTCCTATCGTTGCACATACAAATAATGGGGATCTTTGTCTGCTTTATCAGGCCAATTAACTCCTGAAAGTCAAATATGCAATACAAAACTGGTTACTCACGAGACAACAGAATGCCCCGAAACTCAGTCCCAGTTTGGAGAAACTCCTCAGCACATATCCCGGGTGCCGTCTCGGAGAGCGCACGACGGCTCCGCCTCCGCCTCCGGCTCCCAGGACCCGACCCTGAGCAGCAGGGCTGCCCGTTACCTGGATTCCGCCCCGATCCTCGCTGCCGGCCATGCCATCCACTTCGTCCATGATGAGTGCGTGCCGGGGGCTGGCGCCACCTGACCCACGTGCGGCAGCAGTGGGGTGGGAGGAAAACGAACTGATCATGGCGCACAGACTGCAGGCGCTACGCAAAGCTCGAGGGCACTGCGAAGGGAACAGCGCGTCTGTGCGCCACCAGCACAAACTCCTGCCCCCGCGCCCGTCTCGTTCCCACCCCAGACGCTCACGTGGTCATTAGCAGCCTCTGCTAAGAGACACATTAAAAAAAACGTGTGCGCGTGAAAAGGCACACCTAGCTTTGTCCTTTAATATGTTTTGGCAATTTGCTGGTTATCAATGGGTACTGAATATCACATTAAAAAAAACAACACCCTGATTCATATTTCATTTTACTCATAGCATTTCAGTTGCCATCTGCTTATGACAATATTAGGAAGCTTCCATCCATTCTATACCCATCATCTGTGCACAGGCACCAGTGGCACACTAGCTGAATCCCAGGGTGCGTGCAATTTGGCAAATAGCGCCGGCGTGTCCCAGGCCAGGGCCACTTCCGCCCCCTCCAGCCAGACACCGGCTAGTTCCCAAGAGGCTCCTTTTTGTAGCGATTCTCGCCGCTAAAAGCCCCAGGGTCCTGGTGGCCATGCACGCACCCAGGCTCCGGGCACGCACTGTGGACACCGCCGTGAGGGTCACCTCTTTTCCCAAAAAACCCCGGCCACGCAAATCCACAGCGCCGACCCAGGACGGGGTGCACGTTCCCACCGTTTTCACGCCTCTTCTCAACCTCTGCCTGAGCGACCTCTGCCACTCACGTCTTCACTTTGACCTCGTGCCAGCAGCTTCCGCCCGCGCCCCAAACAGAACGACCCCTTCAGCACAGCCCCCATCAACTCCCTCAGCCCACAATACGGCACTGTCTTTTAATCCCCTCCATCAACATCACCTGGGAGCCCTCGATAATTATATGCAAAATGTCTACACAGGTAACTATGCATTTGACATCACATTCCTAGACACCTGTAAGATGGAAAAATAAGAACGACCGTGCCTGAAGCCTTTCTTAGTCTTTCTGATTCTCCCATTTGCCCCAGAATAGAGGTGGTGCCTGGCACACAGCAGTGTTTGCTGAACAGCTACATGATTTATTTTTTCCTAGAGAAACAACGAACACAATTCAAAATGCCACATACTTGAATAAAACCCCTTGATGCTGGTATTATTCAGCGACTCGGCAACAATCTCCTTCAAACTGTTCTTGCTCCGAGTGTCACTTGCGTTCAGCTCCACATAGCTGTACCCCGATTCCTAATCAAAGTGCAGGAACCCATTATCATCACCATGCAAACCAGCAGCCTCTGCCCTGCCCCACCTGCTACAAAAACCCAGGGCCCTCAGGGAAGAAAGGAAGTAGAAAGAGAGGGGTATGGGTTACAAGCCTAAAACTGTATGATAGTAACAGAAAATGTCGTTAATTCACTAATTGTATCTACCGATATAATATGCACAAACACACAGGCCCATCAAGCTTACAGAAGGATTGATAAAGACATCTATGCTATAGCATTCCTCTAATGCATGTATCTTCTTATAAGCGATTTAAAAAATAGAAAGGGCTTCAAAAAGCCATGGAAATTCTCCATTAGCTTAATTCCATTTTCCCATAAGCTTTTTGAAGCCCCCCTCATACAACCTATTTTATTTTAAAAGGATTTTTTTGAAAGGATACAAATTACAAATGTTACCAGAACTAAAGCAAATTCTAATGGTTTGATTGTTCTTAAAGGTACCTATCATCAGGTTAAACTGTAAGTATATCCACATGTGGGTGTGCCCACCACCCTCCACCCCACCCCCAGGTAAGCGTTCCAGTGGCCCATGACACCCACCTGACAAACCAGAGCAGCTGTGGTTGTTTTGCCGATGCCTGGTGGGCCGGAGAGCAATGCTGCCTTAAAACTGGAGCCATCATCTTTGCCGGCGCACTTCCCGAGTCGCGCTGCCAGAGAAAGGATGTGTCCGTATCACCTCACAGAAATTCGGTGACAGGAGCAACAGCCCAGGTGCATAGCCTGAGCGTTGAAAGCAGCCCTCCAGTGTGGCTCTAAAATTGCAGGCTATTTCCCAGCGGCTCTAAGCATCCGTTTGGGGAGCATTCTGTGAAACTCGATACCTTACTTTATCCCCAACTCAAAATTTAAAAATGAAACAAAAACCTAACTTAAAAATTCTGATGTAATCCAACATATTTTTAAGAGCTTCCTTTCTGACAAAGCACAGGCCAGCAAGCTGTGTGCCAGGTCCGATCCAAACTCTACCAAGGAGGGCCAGCCGGGCATGCTTGGGAAGGGACGTGACCCTTGTGTCAGTCTCCTCTTGGTACACGGAGGGAAACGACCACCTGGGCCGGGGGAGGATGAGCGTGCTGAGCCCTGCCTGGCACGCCTCGGTAAACGTCAGCGCAGTCAGCTCCGCGGCCGAAAAAGAAACAATGACCCACAGACAATGGGCCTGCAAGCACCTTGCTCAGTTCACCTCTAGAGCCTTCTGCCTCCCCGGCCTCTCGGGTGCTTGGCACACAGAGTGCTCCACACACACTCACGTGAGAGAGGGGCTTAAACCTGCGGCCAACAGTTCACCTGAGTCAGAACACCGGCTCCAGGCAACCGAAGCAGGCGTCCCCACTTGTAAGGATTTGGGAAAGGTCAAAGAAACTGAAGTTCACCCTGTTATCATGAAACTGTCTAACCCAACTTGTAAATGAAGCAAACTGGCATCACTGGTCCATGTCTAAGGAGCCTCGGTGGCGCTATGTGTAAGCAGTTCGAACGCACCAACTGCTCTGTGGGAGAGAGATGAGGGAAGATCTTCAAAAAAGGCTGACTGTTTACCCAATAGGGTCTTCGAGTCAGGGTCAGCTCAAGGGCCATGGGTTTGAGTGGGCCAGTGCTCAATGACAAAACCTCACTGCCATCAACTTGATGCCAACTCAGCACCCCTGGGGGTTTCCGAGACGAGCGCCATCTTTCTCCTGCTGAGCAGCTGGGGGCTGTGAGCTGCTGGCGTTGGGGTTAGCAGCCCTACTGAAGCCAGAGGGTACGAGTTGAGCTGCTAACCACCAGGGCAAGCCCGTCACCGCTTTGAGAACTCACGGTGACGCAGAGTTCTACCTTGTTTCTTCTCACACAGTACCCCTCCGAGGGCGCTCCAGGGTGTTGCCGAAGCTTAAGGAAACACTATTAACACGTGTGGCTCTGCAAATGATACTGCGGACATGATAGTTCTTCCTTTTCCATGACAAACACTTGGTAAGTTCGGAAACTCCAAGTTTGGGCTTAGCAGAAGTAAGAAGCCCTGGTACGGGTTGGGCTGCTAACACGGGGTCTGCAGTTCAACCCCACCAACTGCCATGTTATGGTGAGATTTTCCAGTCCCCTAAAGATTTCCAGCCTTAGAAACCCTCTATAACAGCGGTTCTCAATCTGTGGGTTGAGACCCCTTTGGAGGGGGTCAAACGACCCTTGCACAGGGGTTGTCCGATTCATAACAGTAGCAAAATTAGTTATGAAGTAGCAACGAATATAATTTATGGTTGGAGGGTTACCACCACCTGAGGAATTGTATGAAGGGGTCGCGGCCTTAGGAAGGTGGAGAACCGCTGCTCTAGAGGATTGCTGTGAGTCGGAAACCACTCCGTGGCAGCGGATTGGTTCTGGTTTTGTTTGGGGCGGTGACTGTTAGCAGGCCTTGCTTTCAGTCCCATCTTTCCCCCGCCCCGTCCTCCTGCACGGGCAGCGGCCTAGCTCTCACCCCCACCCTCAGCATCCTCTACTTAGCCTGTAATAGCACCACACGCAATCCATTCTCACTGCTGGTCTACATGCTGCCCCGGAGCCTCTGAGCTCCCTGAAGGGCTCATACCGACTGGGCTTTGTTCCCACTGGGGCCCAGCACAGCGCCGGGCCTCACTGCAGACTCCCAATACCTGTCTGCCACAGCTCAGTGAATCGAGACTGAGACACCCTCGCCTATGTGCAACCCAGCAATGACATGTTGACAAACCCACACCCAAATGAGTGAAGTTGTAAAATCACCGTGTTTCTTGTCCTCAGACGGACTCTTGTGCCAGTTCCGGAGCCAGCGGAGGAGTTTGTTGGCACAGCTCTGGTCACCCTGCTGACCGATGATGGTCTTGAGCGAGGTGGGCTTATATTTGTCCACCCAGAGCAAACTTTCCACTCTGTGTCCACCACCGTCAGCGTGCGTCTCCTCGGGCACCTGCCCCTCAAAGCTCAGGTCTCTCCGAGACACGCCGGCTTCCTTTCTTACCGACCACCGGGCAGAGCTCTCCTTCTGGGGAGTCGGCTTTTTCTTTTTAGATTCCGATTCCTTCTTATTGGGGCTCATTTTCCTTTTGCCCTGGTTGATTTTGGTGGGGGTTCTTTCCAAGGCGGCCTTTTCTTTCTTCATCTTAAAAATGGAAAGAGAGAGAGAACAAACCCTGATGAGAGAGATGTCATTGCCACCTGCTACACTCGCCCTGGAAAACAATCTGAGATACGCAAGCCCAGCAGTCTGAAAACTGCCACCTCGCATTTTTCTTTTCATAATTAGCAAAAAATCCACCAAAAATGCGCCCACGTGCAATTTAAGTGAGAAAAAAGTCTATAGCTTCTAAAGCATTGCATCTTATTTTTTTAAAAATAACTATTATTTCAATTTGTTTTTTAAAACAAACAAACCCAACGTTATGCCTCCACACAACTAGTACACAAATATTCCTCTCAAAAACTTCACTGCCAAAAAAATTTAAAAATTCACTGCAGTCAAGTCGATTCCAACTCACAGTGACGCCACAGGGCCGAGCAGGGCAGCCCTGCGGTTCCGGGGCTCTAACTCTGGACAGGGGTAGACGGCCTCGTCTTTCGCCCAGACGAGTATCCCTAACAGCACGATAATAACCCCAAAGTGGAGACAACGCAAACGCCCACCAACTGACAAATGGGCAAGTAGAGGTCACAAAGTGTTGGCCAGCAACACAGTGGAGTCACAGTCTGGCTCACAGCGGTGTGAAACACTGCCCATGCTACACCTGGGGTGAACCCGGAAGCACGACGCCAATGAAGCCAGCCAGGCGCAAAGGCTGCACCGGAAAGGCCCGGGATAGGCAAAGACGTACGTACAGAGAGAAGTCAGAGAAGCTGCTGCCAGGTGCCCAGGGCAGGGGCATGAAGAGGCACTGCTCATCGGAACAGGCTTTCATTTTCGGGGGCGAGACAAATGTTCTGGAGGAAAAGAGTGGTGATTTGCACAACCTTGCGAATCTACTAAAAAGCCATTGGATAGACTTTAAAAGAATGATGTCTACAGTGTGTGGATAATGTTGCAATTTTATAAATTAAAAATATATTAATTTTTTTAAAAAGCTATTGTCCAAAAAAAAAAAAAAAGCTCTCGTCTCTCTGTAGGAATCCTGGTGGTATAGTGAGTTACACAATGGGCTGCGGTACAAACTACAAGGTCAACAGTTCAAATCCACTGGCCTCACTAAGGGAGAAAGTCGAAGCTTTCTGCTCTCATAAAAGGTTAATTCTCAGAAATCCACAGGGGCAATTCTACACTGGTCTGAAAGCTTTAAGTCAGAATCCACTCAGTGGCAACGAGTTTGGGTTTTTTAAGGAGTCTCTCTCGACTGGTGGATCCCAAAATCAACAGGTGGAATGTGAAGGTGAAACAGGGTGTCAATGCAGTCCTAACGGTGCTCCCCTAGGACAGTAATCGGATCACAAAGGGAACCCTGGTCACTTCACGACGGAGAAGCCAACAGGCGCCACCTAAACCAACAAGCATCGCCGAGACGACATCCTGACTTCATGAGCACCCAGTCTGTGACAAATCCCACGTCTGTGGCATTCCTGCCAAGAATGCTACCTTCTATCTAGTGACATGTTGGGCCGCTACCCACAAGGTCAGCAGTTGAAACTACCAGTCGCTCTGCAAGGAAAAGATGAGGCTAATAACCTATTAGGATCAAGGATTCACGAGGGGGGTGGGGTAGGGGGAAGAGGAGCTTATACCAAGGGCTCAAGTAGAAAATGTTTTGGAAATGATGATGGCAACAGATGTACAAATATGCTTGATATAATTAATGTACGGAATGTTATAAGATCTGTAAGAACTCCCAATAAAAATGATTTTTTTTAAAACACGAGGCTTTCTACTGCTGTCAACAGTTAAGAGTCGTGAAAACCTACCAGGGCAGCGCCTCCCTATCCCACGGGATGGCTAGGAGTCTGCACCAGCTCCATGGCAGTGAGTTCGGGTTTTGGGATCATGAGAAAACAGCAAACAAACCCAAACTGAGAGAGAACCCACAACCTGGCCAGGGTCAGGATCATGAACAAACAGGACAGGCTGAGGCACTGCCCCGTCTGGAGAAGACTCAGGCTCAGACACGAGGAAATGCAGGCTGGGATCCCAGATTGGCCCGCGGAACAGAGCTAGGTATGCCTTAGGTGAAAATGAGACGGTCTAGTGAGATGTGTGGTGAACAGTTAACACACCAATATTCATTTCCTAGTTTTAGTAACTGCACTGCGATTATGTAAGCTGGCAACCCTAGAGAACACTGGGGGAAGGGTCAGTCCAAATCCTCCCACAGGATTTCTCTACCAGAAGCAAGCGGCCGGAACTTCTCCCCTCTGGAGCCAGAGTTAGACAGGAGTCCTGGGATACCCACGCCCTGCGTCCTGCACGTGGAGAAGGCCTGCGTGTGGTGGGCACGGAGAGGAGCACACCGGAGAAACGGACAGAAGTGGGGAGGCCCTGAAAACATTCAGAGTCTGGCCCCAGCAGCTGCTAAGCCAGCTCCCAGCCCCAGCCCCCCCCCCCCAGAGTGCAGTTATCAGCACCAGCACGAGTCTCCTTCTGCGGGGTGAGTCGGTCACAGCTGTAACGTCCTGATGCACTTCTACCTGAACATGGCGTCAGCAGGCCGACACCCACAGCGGATCTTTTAAAGGACTCCTAGGTAATAACTTGCAGTCAATCCAATAAGATAGAATATCTGGGAATCCAGGACAGATGAACCCCTCAGGATTAGTGGTGAGTGGCGATACCGGGAGGGTGGAGGCAAGGTGGAGTAGAAAGGGGGAACCGATTACAAGGATCTACATATAACCTCCTCCCTGGGGGATGGACAACAGAACAGTGGGTGAAGGGAGACGTTGGGCAGTGTAAGATATGACAAAATAATAATTTATAAATTATCAAGGGTTCATGAGGGAGTAGGGAGCTGGGAGGGAGGGGGAAAAATGAGGAGCTGATACCAAGGGCTCAAGTAGAAAGCAAATGTTATGAGAATGATGAGGGCAATAAATGTACAAATGTGCTTGACACAACGGATGGATGGATGGATCGTGATAAGAGTTGTACGAGCCCCCAATACAATGATTTTTTTTTTAATTTTACATAATAAAAAAAAGAGAAAATGCGCAAAGCTCAGTACGGGGGCATGATAAGCAATACCCTGTTGACTAGTCTCACATTCCTCTGCAAAGGTCAAAAGCAAACCAAAGACGAACGGCCCTCGGAAGCAGAGTCCGCGACTCAGCGGAAACTCAGCGGGAAACGAAAAAGGCGCTCTTGTGTTCGTGGGCGAAGAAGAACTGACACGATGCCCGCGTCAGTAAGACAGCTCGTGACATACCAACCTCAGCCTCAACGGCGAGCTCATACTTGGACTTCTTGCCTGGCATAGTGCGAATCAGATTCAATAAGCCATCTTCATCAATAATTTTTGTTCCCAAAGCGGCTGCCTATTGGTTAAAAAGTCACATCATTAAAACTGCAGCTTTTCTGTACAAAAACATCATACATAGTGCCTAAAGCATAGGTGGGGGGGGGGAAACCTTGCAAATGGAATTACTGGAATATAAAAATCATATTCACCATCAGCGTGCCCTCACAGGAAGAACATGACAGGTACATTCCTGTGTGTGTGTGGGGGGGGTTAAGTTACTGTGTTTGTAGCTTCCTGTACCTCCTCATCTCCTTCAACAAGAAACAAGGGCCGGTAGCCCGTTCTCCATGCCCGCGTCACAGAGCAGACACCCCCACTTTCTTACTTGCTAACAGAGCCCCAACGTAGCCCATTCCCAAGGGACACATTGTGGCCCTTAGGTGGTTCTGATCTCCTCTGGCCTCTTGTCGGTCTACATGGCCGTGTGACCAGTTCTGGCCAATGAGAACTCAGTGGAACAGTTCAGGTGTTCGTGGGAAAATTCTGGCCTTCCTAACCAAAGAATAATCGGCAGCTGGTATGTCATCTTGCCACTTCTCCCTCTGTCCGCCTTAACAGCAGACTGGAAAGCCTGAACTGCAGCTGCCTGGCAACCACGAGGCAACAGGCACGGAGCTAACGCAACAGGGACAGTAACACTAACGTCGAAACTAATCTCATGGCATGATGAGCTGCTGCAGCATCCCTCGAGCTGCCTGTCTCTGGGGTTCTTGCTACACGAGGAACATGCACACGCTTGGCTTACTCCGCCATGGCTGCCTGCGACTGTGAGCAGAACACAGTCCTGGCCCACAGACCCGAGTCTTCCCTGTGAGCTTGACGTAAAACAAGGTAGAATGGAGAGTTGGCAGTGGCACACATAGAAACATAAACTAGAAAATTAAAAAGTAAACTATATTTGCTTCTGTCTTCAGAGAGAGACTTAAATCTGCGTGCACCCCCAGGAAGTCAAGGAAACAGGAGCTGTGCTTTCGACAGGAAAGCCAAAGCCCGGGGGGCAGAGCCAATAACCCTTCCGTGCAGAGGAAATAGTGGAGCGCAGAAATTAGTCTTCAACCTCTTTTCCTCCTCGCTGTGATTCTGTGCAAAGGCCCTATCAGAACCTGCCACGGTGAGCGAGCTATTTGGCTGTGCTCAGAACATGCAGGACCCACCTTATCACTCTTGGACTGTCCACTGTCCCGGCCCATGACCAGGTAGTTTGTCTTCTTGCTGACATTGCCAGTCACTTTGCCCCCGTAGCGCTCAATCAGAGACTTGGCCTCCTCGCGCTCGATGCACTCCAGCACTCCGGTGATGACAAAGGTCAGGCCTTCCAAGCAATTCTCGGCTCCCTGAAAACCACAGTGGTCCAGCAGAGAGGAAATTACACAGCAGTTTCCCATAAAAACATTTGGCTTCAAGACTGCAGGAAGTTGAATCTTCCCGTGTGACATCATAAAAAAAAATCTCAACGTGAAACTTTGCCGGAAATTTAGAGCAAAGAGAAGTAGCACTAGACATAAAATCCCAGGAAATTCTTATGTCAGGTAAGGGTTTATGAGTTATAAAACCAACCAATGTGAAAGCACACATATAAGACTGTTAGCAACGCTTAGTAAAATCCTTCCTATTATTTTCCATAATGTTTGTTTACATTCAACCACTAGTTGACTTGTATAGGTTTACATAAACTCCACCTAAATCAACGCTTGCATTTGTTATAAAGGGAAAGCTTCCATCCCAAGACTGGCTCGGGTCACCGGAACACGTAGCACTTCTGCCCTTCACGCTGATGGTCGCAAAACAACGGCCTCGAGCCACTGCGATTCACTGGTCGGCCAGCTCACGTCGCCAGGACGGGAAGATCAACACTGAGAGTACAAAAGGACCCGGATAAAGGCGCTCCTGGATGGAGAAGACAGTTCATCTTACTGTGAATTGGATCTACTTCTGGCACTTTGGATTTCTGTAACCCAATATTTTTTTTTTAATGGCACAGCCAAGCCAAAGGAAAATTCCATACCGTGTTCAGGTTATTACTCTTGGAACACAGACATGAGAGCAACACAGACTTCATGAAGCCCTGAAAAAGAAGCTAAGCAAATTTCAAAGCCTGCCCCCACTTAAGTCAACCCTGCACCATGCATATGAAGGCTCAGTCTTAGAAGACAAACAAAATTGCCATGAATCTGTTTGGAGAAAAACACGTAACATCGCATGGTGCCCAGCAACCCTATCGTTCTAGAATTGAAATGATCTCGATAACCATATAGGTAATCAATTTTTCCCCAACAGATTCATAGTAACTCTGGAAAACCCCCACGGGGCTCTGGAGATTCTCTCTTCCCATCTGGACATCTCTAGCATCTCTGCCACGCTCTCCTCCACTCGGAACGCCAGCACGGGGACCAGCACACGAGCCCCGAGCCTCGGCCTCCTCGCAAGCAGGGCTTGTTTCGTCTGCAGACATCAGGAACGGAAGCACAGCTGGCCTCTTCCGCTAGTCTGCTATAGACTCCACTAGCCCCCTGAGGCTCAGTCACCCATCGACCCGCCCTCTACTCTTCCATCTATCAGGGAATCACTCATCTCCATGTGGCTCTGGATACCCTCTTTCCCACCTTGTCAAACACCTCCCATGACATTTTGATTACCCTTCTCCTGCTACTTTGCCTTCAGTCTTTGCCTTCCAGGCAGCTCCAAGCCCAGCATCTCCCAGCATGGGCAGTACAGGCCCCTTGGGGAGCTGGAATGACCAGGGGGACTTCAAAAGCAGAACCTATACTTTATCCTGGATTATGAGCTAAAGTACAAAGTTTTTCATTGCTGGGGGGAGGGGGGCACAAAGTAATCATTTTCTGTGAAGGGGCAGCAGGCCAGATAAGTTTAGGAGTCTGTGATCTAGGCCAGGGGCCAGTAAACTGCGCCTCTCAAGGAATATGTCCACGTGGCCCTGAAAACTGAAAAATTTTAAAGGATTCTTTTCAGATAATCACACATCACAGTTATAGTTATTAATATATAATGTCTCTATCCTGAGTTTGAAATAAGTGCCATATACCTGATGTCATGGACTGGACAGTATCCCCTAAAATTCTGTCCACTGGACGGGGCCACGATTCTCAGTGGTTTGGCAGTTGTTAATGATGTGATCAGGCAATCATTGATAAGGAGCCTGGGGTGGGATGAGAGAAGCCTGCTGGGGTAGCTGGTTATGCATTGGGCTACTAACTGCAAAGTCAGCAGTTCAAAATCACCAGCTGCTCCAAGGGCAAACAATGGGGTTTTCCACTCCTGGAAAGAGTTAGTCTCAAAAACTCACTGGAGCATTTCTACCCTGTCCCTGTGAGTCTGAATCAACTCAATGGCAGTGAGTGAGGGGCTAGATGCAACACCACTCTTACTCAGGCCACAGGCTTGATCCAACGCAAAGGAGTTTCCCTGGGCCTAGCCTGCATCTTCCTCTTACTCACTCCATCATGTCAAAGCATGCCCACAGGGACAGGCCAGAGCTGCTCCTGTGAGTTCCAAGACTGTGACCCTTTAATGGGAGTAGAAAACCCTGTCTTTCTCCTGTGGAGTGAGTGGGGGTTTCGAACTGCCAACTTTGAGGACTGTAGCCCGACTCATAACCACAGCACAAGAGCTCATCTTCTTACAAAAGATAAAAGGGGAGAAGCAAGCAGAGAAGACCTCAGTAGCATCAAGAAAGAAGGGTCAGGAGCTCAGCACATTCTTTGAATCAAGAGTCCCTCTGCTGAGAGCCGACTGGGACACAGATCTGCAGAGAACATCAGGCCCAGAGATGCTGCAAAGACACAAGGACCTTCCCCTCGAGCAGTGGTTCTCAACCTTCCTAATGCCGCGACCCTTTAATACAGTTCCTCAGGTTGTGGTGATCACCCCCCCAAGCATAAAATTATTTTCGTTGCTACTTCATAACTGTAATTTTGCTACTGTTATGAATCGGGCAAACCGTGTGAAAGGGTTGTTTGACCCCCAAAGGGGTCAAGACCCACAGGTTGAAAGCCACTGCCCTAGGAAGTGAGCAGAGAGAAGCCTCCCCCTAAACTTGGCACCCTGGTTTTATAACTTCTAGCCTACTGTGAGAAACTGAAGTTGTCCAGGAGTTCGTTATACTTGGATCTAGAACCAGCACTCATGACAGGAGCAGTCAAGAAATCAAATAACAGCCAGGGGCTTGAGTGGAGAGGAAATGTTTTGAGAATGATGAGGGCAATGAATGCACAAATGTGCTTTACACAATGGATGGATGTATGGACTGTGATAAGAGTTGTATGAGCCCCCAATAAATGATTAAAAAAAAGAAATCAAATAATGTCTGGCATTGGGAAAATCTGCTGCAAAGGACGTCTATAACGTGATAAAGAGCAAAGCTGTCACTCTGAAGACTAACCTATTCTTGACCCACGCCGTGGTCTTTCCAATCCCTGGACAGACATGGAGAGAACAGAGCAGAATCGATGCATTCCAACATCTGAATTGTGGTGCTGGGGGAGAATACCGCAAGTGCCACAGACTGCCTGAAGGACAATCAATCTGGTTTGGGGCAAGCGAGCCGGCCTGCTCCTCAGAAGCGAGGAGGGCAAGACTCCATCCCACGGTCTTTGGGTGTGTTAGAGAAGAGCCCGGTCCCGGACGGGGCAGCCTGCTCAGCGAAGGCACAGGACAAAGGGAAAGGCCTCAACGAGATGCACTGACGCAGCAGTGCAGCAACGGGCTCAACAGAGCCCCGTGGGGAACCGTCGGAGGACCAGGCCCGTTTCAATCTGCGGTACAGAGGACCACTAGGAGCCGGGACCAATTCCGTGACATATAACAACAACAACGAGCCGAGAGAGACTCAGGTTGTTTGCTATTGCCATGAGTTGCGGCATTTCTGGAAGCCCTCGATAACCAAGACCAGCGCCAGCAGGGCAAAGAGCATGAGTCTGTCACTGCCGTCTCTCTCGGAGCCAGGGGGCGCTCGGCCAGTAGGTGCTGGAGGACAAGATCACAGACAGCACACAACACACAGCAAGCCCTAACAACCAACTGGAATCCTAGGAGGGTATAGCAAGATTCTCCATCGGATTTTAAGAAAAGCTTTTCCACGATCAAGGTATATGGTGTTCAGTTGCTATCTGTAAAACATCTAGTATCTAATACACAACTAGAAATTTAAATTTGTTTGTTAAGCAAACAAAACATTTTAAAAGCATTTTTAGGTTTAAAAAAAAAACAAAAAACCTAAATGTATGAAAATAGCAATTTAACACCTGAGCTTCAGTTGCTCCAAGAACATGCTGCAATTTAATATTAAGAAATATTTCTGAGAAGTCATTTTTTTAATGTTTTATTTCAACAAATAGTTTTACTACCGTCTAGGCCAAGGGTTGGCAAACTGCAGCTAGCGAGCCATGTGCGGCTGCTTTGGGGACCACACGTGGGCCTGAAGTAAAATTGAGAAATTTTAAAGGATATTATTCTGATAACAGTGGCTTCATTATTTGTAAAAACATATTTATGACTCTTGAATAATTTTTAAATTGTTGTTGAGGGGCAGGATTGGCTCTTCTGTCTCAAAAGTTTACCGACCCCTGTTCTAGGCTAACTGGTGATTTGAAGGAAAATATATCCGAGGACCCAGCAGTGGCTCCGATGTGAATAATCAGCCCCCCGTTCCTGAAAAGAGTGGCTGAGACTTGGCTGCTGTTCATTTTCAAACACTCATTCTCAGTGCACGCACACACACACACAGGCCGCTAGTCCCAGAGCTGCGGGGACGGGGGACTCTCAGGATGCTTACCTTGGGTATTTCTTTCGAGCCCAGAGCCTTGGGGCCTTCTCGATTGAGGTAGCTTCGATAAGCTTGGTAATTAGTGCGCTTCCTCTCCGCGTCGTCAGGACTTGCAGACTGGAGGAGAGGGAAAGGAAGCCCAGCAGTCACGCAGTTCCATGGCACATCAAAACCCGCACAGCAGAAGTGACGCGCTAGCTCCCTCCCGGCATTCCAGGCTGCCAGGTGCCCCCCGACAGAGATCTCTGGATCGGCCCCTTTCAAGCCCTGCCGCTCTCTAAAGGCATAGGCCACATTGCCAGCTCCGAGCAAATTAACAGAGAGCCTGATTTACTTTGGACATTCAGATAGTTTTTATTCTATTCCATAATCTCGCCATGCTTATTCTAGAGTGATAATTATCTCTCCCACAAGTGGGCTTGAGCGATCACCCATGCAGATGCTTGCCCCTGGCCTCAGCCAGCCCACCACGCTGCCGCCCTGTGAGACGGCCTGGCCTCGGCCAGCCCACCACGCTGCCGCCCTGTGACAGGGCTGCGACACTGGGTTCCAGCACATTAACAACTGTGAGGAGGGCGGGCCCAGGGCTGGGCAGTGCTTCCTTCTGCTGTGCTCAAGGTCACTATGGATCCAAACTCACTCAAGGTCACCTAACAGCAACAGCAGCATGGCCCTGGAGGTGGCAGCACCAGGCTAAGAATCAAAGCATTCCTCAGAGCAGCTAACCTCACAGAACAAACCCGCTCTCTCTGCCCGCTGCCGCTGGTTTCTCTCAGCTCTGAAACTTTCTGAGGAAATGTCAAACTACGCATCATCCCATAACCCACCTCTAGTCTCTAATTCGGAGCTAGAGGGTATGTATGACTAGCGTGTGCGTATTAGGGGCACGAGAAACATCCTTGCTTTTCATCCATTGTTTTTATTTTTCCATTTTATGATATTTTTAACTTATACATCACCCCAAAGCTCTGAAAGACAGCTACGCTAGCTCATCCAGTGAGTGAAGCAGCCCTGAGTTACCATTTGACGATGGCTCTAGAATAAAGGTTCTAGAACGCCGAAGCCCCAGTGTATTTGGCTGACTCCCTGCTTTTCAGAAGAAACGTTACTCGGTGCACCCCTGACAACCTTTTTGTCCTATAGCCCATAATCCAGGATAGAGTTTAGGTAAACCTGTTTTTGCCACCCCACCCCAGCTCCCTGATCATCAGCACCCCGCAGGGGCTGCTTGAGAACCTAATCATAACTGTGAAGTGGGTCTCAAAAATTAGTGTGCATTCAAATCATCAAGAGCTTATTATAATACAGCTGCCCAAATTGAAGGCTCTGGAAGACCTTATTTCTAACAAGCTTTGCAGAAGAATCCCATCTACAATAAAATGGGACACTTAACTCATTTGTAACATTAATTCTAAGAAAAATCTATTTTGAATTCTAACCAACTTATAACTATCCATGTATACCATGTATGAAGCCAGAATTCCTGTGAGTTGATCACAATCAACTAAATTCATCAAATAGATTCTGATGTTCCGCAACTGCCTCAGCAACTGAGTGGATTCTATTCCAGCTTCATAAGCAGGTGAAGAGTAACAGTGTCATTAAAAGATTTCTTCTTCGTTAGTATACAGACAAGCCTTGGAAAACTATACAAGTTTAGTTTGCCTGAAGGACATTCATCTACCAGGTAAATATTTACTAAAGATAAATCTGAGACCAAAAAGTTAATGGTTGCTCTAAGCGTATTTGTAAGCACTGACCAGACAAAAGCACTATGGAATCACCAGCCTTTCATTGCTCTACACGGAGAAATAATGGTGATGAACAGTTAAAACAGCCAATTCTAAGTGCCCAGAGGCATGAAGGGACACACTGTAGTCTTTCATTAGGAAGATAAAGTGGCTCTATATCAAAGAGGTCACTGGCATCTGAAATATATTTGAAAACAACACTTTTGAAAGGCATTTCATACGCCACTGGTTTTTCCTTTGAAAATTATTTCAGTAGCTCAACATTGTTTTACCAGAGCAAAAAGGAACAAATGAAAACGAATCCAATTAACAATTATTTTAATGATAGTAACTGAAACGTACATACATAGAGCTTACCATGTACCACATTATTGGTCTAAGTGGCTTCACTTACTAAGTCACTCGGACCTTTTAGCCCCATTTACACATGAGGAAACCAATCAGAAAAAGGGGAAGCATCTAGACCAAGGTCACCACCTGCTCAATGCCAGGGCTTTGATTCAAAATTGGCTTGAGTTCATGGTCAGCACCACCTGCTCTGGGGGTCTTAAAGGACCTGCCTGGGCCACTTACTTGCTAGTAGGGTGGGGCAAGAAGAGCCTGTTTCTTCATTTGTAAATACCTCACATGTTGCTGTGAGCAAGGTTTACACTTACCAAGTATTAGCACACTACCTGACACATAACAGCAATCCATTATTAGCTCATTCGGCCACGTAACTTTAACAATTTATAACAACTATCTGTATTAATAATCCACATTAAAAAGATTTAACCATAGTGATGTGTTTTCGCAACAGCTTCTAACTAAGATGACATATTACAGGTACTACAATGAATTACAAAATTAGAAATAAAAGAGAAGACCCAGTTCAACACAACATTCCAAAATGTTAACGTTGCTACCTCTTTTTTAGTTGGGGAACTTTTGTTTTTCTTAGGGCTTTTTCTCTCTTCTTTCAACTCAATCGCATTTTCTGTGCTTTTGGAACCTGTGGGCTCTGCTTCTTTATGAGAACTCTCTGCTTTTTTTTTCAAAAGTGCCAGTTTCGAACTGGCCTTTGACGGAGAGGGTTTTATTCTGTGAGGTGATGGCTTAGAATGCCGCTGAAGTTCTGATGAAATGTCACATTTACTTTGTTTCTTAGGACTGTGGCTATTTCTGTCATTGGAGCATTGTTCTGTTTGAAAAGGAAGAAAGATTATTGTTTTTCAGAAAATGATACCTGTTATCAATTTTTTTTGTTTCTTTTTCAGTGGAGTGATCTTAGTGGCAAAACATGCTCATACAGTGATTTCATTAACATGTTAAGATTTTAGCTCTAAAATGTATACGGCAGGTTGTTAAGTTTGTAGATTACTTATCCTTTGTATAGCCAGTTCAAAGTAAGGAGTTTGGCATTTTTAACATGAACTATTCATTGCTTAAAGTAAACTATCTAGAAACATGGAATTCAAGCCACAGATAAACGTCAATCATCTAAAATTTACAAAGAAAACACACTGACTAAAGTGAGCCATATAAAAATTCCATTTTAACAGAGCCTGAAAACCACATGTCCTGAGGTCTCAAGCCCTAAAGGGACTGGCTGATCCGACGGATGTACAGGACTAAGACCACCCACACCAGCACTGGTTCCGGGAAGTACAACTGACCACCAGAGGAGAGCGGCACAGGCCTGGTACCAGGAGCCAGCTCTCAGATGATCTTGGTGATAAGCTAACACCTTGTCTTCCTAAACCCTAGTCCACGAACTACACTACCCTCAGTTCTCCGACCATCAGGGCCGATGGGCATTCTCTAACAGCTGGTATTCAGATGGCTTCCAAGCTCATCTACATCATACTCTCCCCATGAAACGTCTACCTAAAGATACCAGGCAATTATTCAGTAGAGGTTTACACACGGTTACAAAGAGTTTTCTTTACAGGGAGTCCAGTGCACGCTCATTTGATAATATTACCTTTCTGAGGATATTTATGTTTTTCTGTTTTACTTAAATTGACTTGCACAGACGAAGACATTTCGTTCTCTTCTGGCTCCTTTTGAGTCTAAGTAGATTTAAAAAGGATCAATTGTGACAAATCGTAGGCAAAACTATTACCACAAATGGTGTTGTTAACATCAACTAAATTTAATTCTAAGTTCGAAGGCTACTTTCCAATCCAGCAGGATACTGTAATAACCCTTCTTCCCCATGCATTCACACACTCCCTGGGACAGAAAAAGCCATGTTTATGACTTCATTTAACAGATTAGGAAACTGACCTAAGAGTATAAAAGTATATTTCTGAAAAGGCGTCCTAGTGTTTCCCAGTCTGGGAAACCTGGCGGGAAACAACTTTCCCTGCCTCGTTCATCTCAACTCTCAATGTGTTACTGTTTTCCAGTTCAAAACTAAAATATAAGATATGGCAAAAATAAATAGATAATAATGTAGAATAATGAGGGTTCCAGGAGGGAATAAAGAGGGTGGGGAGGAAGAGGATAAAGGGAAGCCAGGTTCAAAGAGTTCAAGAAGAAAGTTTGTTTTGAAACTGATGGTGGCACCAATTGTACAATTACGCTTAAGCTAACAGAATTATGGATTATTATAATATCTGTCAAGCTCCCAAAATAATTTAAAAACATTTTTAAACTAAAATACAAGCCAAAAAGGCTTCAAATCCAAAGAGTAAATGAAAAACGAGATAATCCATTCTTTCAACTGCTACCTCAAAACTCCAGTTTTCAAAAATGTCAGAAATAAGAATTTGTGTTACAGTATTTTGAAAAATGATTATAATCAAAATGCTGTCGATGGAACCCGCGGCTGTTCAACTCACAAAGTCTCTACCACTTCTTGTGGTCTTCCAAATGCCTGCTCAAGTTTTGGGCCTTGGTAGAATCTGAGTTTGCAAATCCCTGCTTTTTTAAATGACCAGCTACTGACAATACTATACGAACAATATGTGATTCAATAAAAAATAAGGCTAGCTTATTGAGATTAAAGTGATGGAAAAAGACTCGATGCCTTTAACACCACCCAAATAGTCATAACTGTGTTAATATCAAAATCTTAAAATTAACCAATTAGAAATCGCTTCCTCAAAGAGGCAGTAACTAGCATTAAAGTAATGAAGCTAGCATTGCCTAGGAGTTTCTGTCAGCACTACTCTCTGAACAAGCGCATGCGTAACAGTCCCTTGTTGGAGACTACAGAAAAGTGTAGACTTCCTCATTCTGGGAAGAAAGGTTCTGATTTCTTTGGGCTGTCAATCTTTTAGGCAGAATTAAATTTTTCGATGAGGTGTCCAAAACATATTTTTCTAACTTGAAATCATCTCGCCAGGTTCGGGAAGAAGTATTCCTGGCTGTCATCCAGTGCACAGCGCACACAGGAATGAAAAGGTGCCGTCTGTGGATGGGACACCCGGTGCAAGCAGCCCAACACAAAGCACCTGCTTGGTCTTGGGCTCTGCATCCAGCATGGCTAACGTTCGGGCAAACTCCTCGTCCTCGTGCAGTTGTCTCTCCAACTGTAAGAAACGGGAACAGACAAGTTGCTTTTGTTCAACATCCTCCAGCAAATGACTGATATTTTCCCACTTAACATGAACAAGGATCACAGGCTTGTTTCACTAAGCCAATTTGCATTTCAGAATGCACACTTCCAGTTTCCCAGGCATGAAACATAAACTGAACCAATTCTGAACGTCATTTCTTGTCATTTATAACTTGAAGGTCCTGATGCAACAATTACAGACTTAGTTCTGCTTAACTCTAAAAAGAGCTCTGGCATAAATCGCAGCCTGATTTCTAGAGGGCACAAAAGGAAAAGCGTAGCTAAGAAATTTGTTTTTAATTATATATATTTATCTGCATACAACAGCAAGATATTTACAAATGTAAAATAACCATCAAACTCCTACTTTTCTTTTTCTTTTGCTGTTTAAATCATTTTATTGGGGCTCGAACAACTCTTATCACAATCCACATAGATCCATTGTGTCAAGTACATTGGTACACATATTACTGTCATCATTTTCATAACATTTTCTTTCTACTTGAACCCTTGGCATCAGCTAATTTTACCCCTCCCTCACCCTCCCTTCCTCATGAACCCTTGATAATTTATCTTTTTTTTTTCATGTCTTACACTAACTAATGTCTCCCCTCACCCGCTTTTCTGTTGTCCATTCACCTGGAACGGGGTTAAATGCAGATCATTGTGATCAGTTCCCCCCGTTTCTTCCCCCGCCTTCCCCTTATCCTCCTGGTATGGCTACTCTCAACGGTTTACCTGTCCTGGATTCCCTGTGTTTCCAGGCCTTGTCTGTCCCCGTGTACATGCTCGGGTCTAGCCGCATGTGTAAGGTAGAACTGGGATCATGATAGTGGTGGGGAGGAAACATTAAAGAACTGGAGGAAAGTTGTATGTTTCATCGGCTCATCTCTTCCTTGTGGCCCTTCTGTAAGGGGAGTCCAATTGACTACAAATGGGCTATGGATCTCTACTCAGCACTCCCCTTCATCGACATTAATAAGATTTTTGGTTGTTCTAGGTCTTTGATGCCTGATACCTGATCACTTCGACACCTCGTGATCACACAGGCTGGTGTGCTTCTTCCATGTGGGCTTTGTTGCTTCTCATCTAGATGGCCACTTGTTTACCTTCAAGCCTTTAAGACCCCAGACACTATACACCTTTTGATAACCGGGCACCATCAGCTTTCTTCAATACATTTGCTTATGCACCTGCTTTGTCGTCAGCGATCTTGTCAGGAAGGTGAGCATCACAGAATGCCAGGTTATTAGAACAAAGTGTTCTTACATCGAGGGAATACTTGCAAACTCAAATTTTTCAATTACGAATTTCAAGGCACCCGTTGACATAATTTAGATTACACCTTGTCAGCTCACCTTACGTGCTAATGCCGCACACTGAGCAGACCTTCTAGTAACCCTGCTGCTATTTCCAAATCTTTTCAGTCAGCCAAAGGGGTGGGGAGGTCTTCCCAAAGAGGGCGGGCATGTGGCCCTGGAAATAGCTCCATTATAAACAAAATGGCTTTACGCCCTTAAGGGAAAGGGCCTGATTTCATTCCAAATAAAATCCTCTCTATATTATTTAAACAGAAGGAACGATCTCAGAATCGACTCAATATCAAAGAAAAGGTTAAAAAGTTGGCAAAATCCGGATGAGATCATGGCTGCCTTTCTCATCCGTAGGATGCACTAATCCAAGCCACGCAAACGATAAAACAGATGTAATAAATAAGCTTTCAATTGACCAGCATCTCTTTACCAAGACTGACCTACACATCTAATTGCTAAAAGTCTGAAAACCTTGATCGTGAAGCCGGGGAGCCTTAATTACCGTCGAGTCAATTCTCACTCATCGAAACCCTACAGGGGAGAGTAGCATGGCCCCTGTGGGTTGCTGTATATCTAAATGCATAGCTATCTTTATGGGACTAGAAAGCCTCGTCTTTCTTTCTAGGAGCTGCTCATAACCCACTACACCACCCAGTCAAGAACTGACTGTCTCACTGAAATTGATGCTGCACCGTCATTTTCCTAACTTCTCTGCTTAAAATGATACATTCATAACCCCCACTGATGACCCCAACACGCCTTTTACTTTTCTCCAATGGCACTCAGTCATGATTCATAACAAACTGACATTACTCATTTTAATTGCACACTTTCTAGCACCTAGAATAGGACCAGATACTCAATAAATGATCGATACTTATTAAATAAATACATGGGCTTACTAGTCAAGAAAGAGCTCTTAACTGGAATGAAAGTAGGAGCCATGAACACTTACACAGAAGAGAATGAAATAGCCCAAAATATATGTGTAGAGTAGAAGAAGAGCAAACTATTATAGATATGCCAAAGGAGCCTTTCGTTAAAAAAAACAACACAGTAATAAATCCTTAAGTAAATATCTCCTGCATTCATCATTTATCTTCCATATGAATTTAGATTTTCAGTTTCTTATTTCACCCATAACTCTTTCAAGGAGGCTGCATCAAAACCAGAGTAGAACTGCTTGATGATTTGCCTGGCTCGACCAATGAGCACTCAGTTTCAAGTGGTCAGTGATACCCAAGCCAAACACGTCAGTACCTCGGCATCTTCATCCAGCTGCAGTTGCTTAGCGATGGCTTCATCGTTTAATCTGAAGTCATCCGTGTTCTCTGGAGGCTGTATTTCAATGAAAATGAAGCAAGATCAGGATAAACCTTAAACTAAAAAGAAGGTGCTTTTTCTCGACCAGCTGATTAAATAAACAGAGAAAGGTGCATGAGTAATTGGATGGCTGCAATCCACACTGGCCAGAAAGTCATGCTTTCGGTTACTTCCGGAACATATCCAATTTCCTAATGAGTTATCTACCCTACCCACTGATGGCTCCCACTGAATCCTACTGACATGTCCTAGAGAAGCAAGTAAGGGGAAAAAGAAAAAAAACACCTTCTAGACCAGCGGTTCTCAACCTTCCTAATGCTGGGACCCTTTAAGACAGCTCCTCATGTTGTGGTGAACCCCCAAACATAATTATTTTCATTGCTACTTCCTACCTGTCATTTTGCTACTGTGATGAATCAGAGGTGACTTTCACTAGAAGTATCTGTATGTCTGCTTCCTAACTGGCCAGAAAAAGATAAATTCAACACCTATGAAAATAGGGAACAGTATAGTACATTAGATATGTACTATTTAGAAGGAATATATTCACGACCTTACTGGGTAACAAATTTATTGTCCAATTTTATCTGAGGCCAATAGTAAAGTAAGTTTGCATTCTGAGTGTGTAATTGCAATTGGTATGAATTCTACCTTTCCCTTATCGTTTAAATCACCTTTTCCTGATCTAATATTCTAATACCCTCATCCACGAAAAGGAAGGCATGCCTTTTCCATAATCAAAGGGAAGCGGTTTTCATTAATGAAAGTAGTGGCCTACTTTCAGAACAATGAAGAGGTTCAAAGGCCGAGCTTTCTGACTAGCCCTCGGACACTCACCTGTTTTCTTTTGCTTGCCACCATCTTCCTAGCCGATCTCTGGACACTTGCACTTCCAAAATAATCGAGCACTGAAGTGGGCACACGTGTTACCGGAGACAAGGGCTGGTGGGGAGTCTTCGTGCTCCCTTCGTTCTTTCCCGTGCTGGACGGGCCCCGGTGACTCTGCACAGAGCCGCCGTTTTCTTTGGATTTCAAGGCTGTCTTTTTACACGTGTCATCTTCTTCATCTTAAATGAAATAAACCAATCTTTCTTCATAAAACAGCAATCCTATCTGTACAGAGCCACTACTTATGCGTGCTTTATAAAGTGCAAAAAGCCGTGAGATTCCAAAGATTTCTAATTATCTTGCAAATCCAACAATCCAGCCCACCTATAATACACTAGTCCCTACCCAATTACTATTCAGAGTACACGTATTCTTTCAGGTGGGCATCCCAAACATATTTGCTGTACCCCCATTTAATGCCAAGCACGGATCCTAGAACCGGGGATACCTCAGTGAATAAAGACAGAGAAGATCAATGTCCTCATGGAGCGTGGAGTCCGGAAAATAGATACAAATAAATGAACATAAGTTATCAAGTTGTAAATGCTCTAAAGGGGAGCCCCCGGTGGTGTAGTGGTTAAGCGCTGGGATACAATCCCCAAGGTCAGCAGCTCAAATCCACCAGTCACTCCTCCGGAGAAAGCTGGAACTTCCCTGGAAACAGGCCCAGTGCCTGAAACTCACAGGGACAGTTCTAATCCTGTTCTAAGGGTCACCGAGTCGGTATCAAGTCGATGCAGTGTGTTTGGTTTTGGTTTTGGAAGAGCTATAAAGAAAAAGTAAAACAGGGTGAAAAAATTAAAGAGTGCTCTAATTGATGAGAGGTCGAAGAAAGCTTCTCTACGGAGCACTTCAACAGAGCCCTGAAATGAAGGTACCTCAGGCAAGACTACGCACACTTAAAACCACGTGCTGGGCGGGCAACTCGACTGGAATGCAAGTGGGGAAAACTGTGAGATTGAAGGTCAGGAGAGTCAGAAACCTTTTAAGACATAAGGGCCTTTTATGTCAGGGAACCATGTAATGGAATTCTATGTAGGGAAAAAAATTATGCTACTTGTATATTCAACAGGACATCAACAGAGAACTGCCAGAGATTCAAGCCAGATTTATAGAGGTCTAAATGCCGGCATGCACATATAAAAACATATTTATATATAACGATAGGGGCATACATCTATGTACATGTATTTATATGTTAAGTATCAAGATAGCAGACAGACATTGGGCCTCTACTCAAGTACTTCCTTAATGCAAGAACACTTCGTTTTAATAACCTGGCATTCCTTGATGCTCACACATTTCCTGACACGATCACTGAAGACAAAATGGGTGCATAGCAAATGTGGTGAAGAAAGCTGATGGTTCCCGGCTATCAAAAGATATAGCATCTGCAGGCCTGTCTGGATAGGACAGGCTGGATGAACAATCTGGAGGAGAAAACAACGGGACTGACAGTTCCGGGGGGACATGGGAGAGGG